CACACACACACACGTATATATATATATATATATATATATATATATATATATATATATATATATATATATATGTATATATATATATATATATATATATATATATATAAGTAAAACACACTAATATGTGCAGAGCTGATGGGAGGGAAAAGTAGAAAGGAAGATAAACAATGATTTGAATAAGATAAAAATAGATTTACATTGAGATAAGTAGATAGATAGATGTTAGCAGTGTTAGATAGATAGATAGGTAGATAGATAGATAGATAGATAGATAGATAGATAGATAGATAGATAAGAATAGACTGATATATATATATATATATATATATATATATATATATATATTGGTGAAGGCTTCGTGCAGGACCATCCACACTTTTTGAAGGGACGAATACAGAGACCTGGTGCACCGAATGCCACAAGGTTTCCAAACGACCCTCCTCGGGTTTTGGATTCACAGTTGTCCTTCTCCTAGACCAGTTGCCATCCAAGGCTATAGAACCCAGTCTGTTCTGCTATTTTACCCATAGCTGGAGGGAGAGAAAGAGGATTCACACCTTTCCCAAGGGTGTTAGCACGTAAGTGAATGTAATGGATTCGACTGGAATTCGAACTTGCCTCTGCGATTCCTCAATCCAAGCCGCTATCCATTACTCCACCGTGCCTCCTATAATAAAATCTCATGTGCCGGTCTCCCTCCAGCTATGGGTTAAATAGCAGGGCAGACTGGGTTCTATAGCCTTGGGTGGCAACTGGTCTAGAAGAAGGACAACTCTGAATTCAAAACCTGCGGAGGGTCGTTTGGGAACCTTGTGGCATTCGGTGCACCAGGTCTCTGTATTCGTCCCTTCAAAAAGTGTGGATGGTCCTGCACGAGACCTTCACCACTATAATCAAATCTCATGTGCTGGTGTCGGGCTGTCGGTTTCCTGGGAACTGATCTGCTTGACCCTCATACGTCGAATTCGACGGGAGAATCGATTTTTTTTCTATATATATTGTGACAAAGAGAGAGATAATGAACACACTGAGATAGATAGATAGATAGATAGATAGATAGGAACAGACGCATATATATATATATATATATATATATATATAGAGAGAGAGAGAGAGAGAGAGAAAGAGCGATATCGATATAGATGGGAACAGAGATAGATAGATAGATAGATAGATAGATAGATAATGTTCAGAAAGAGATAGATAGATAGATAGATAGATAGATAGATAGTAAGTACCAAAGAGGGGACGAAAGAAGAGGTATGGACCAATTCGTAAAAGCCTGAGTAATCGCCTTATCAACTTTCAATTCTGATTGCAGCTGCTTTCATCACTTGAGAATTACGTATGAATCTCTTTCTCCATTGTTTCGCATTTTATGTCTCGCCCACGATGCACTCCCCCCCCCACCAAATCTGGCTAATGGCTGTGTTCACTGTTTAATTGGTCGGTGCAATTTATCGCTGGTAATAAGTTGAGACAATGTCCACCGAGACAGATTCTCTCCATTATCCGATCGTGACAGATGAAAAGACGATATTTACTAAGATTAGTTTAGTAAGAAACACAACTAAATTGTACCAGTTTTTTTTCTACTCATGGCCCCTGAAAATCCACATTCGTTATGTTGGTTTTTATCTCGGCTCAAACCTGAACGACTACAAATGAAGAGAGTGATATGACTATTGAGTTGAGTAATAATTTTAGTTTTGCTTAAATTAGTTTTCCAAAAAAGAAAAAAAAAGATACAGTAATATTCGACATCCTGTATTATTTTAAAGGATTTGTTGCAACTTATCAGGTTGTTCTTTGATCGCTTTCGACTAAAATTCCGCAGATTCTGATGTTTTCGACAAACCCTTACACCTGGGTTTTGTTAGAGAAATTTTTCTCCTTCAGAGCGTTTTCCACCAATCGAAAAGGTCAATGGATTGCTGAAAGGTCAGGTAAAGAAAGCGATTGGGCTAAAACTGACTTTCAGAGTTCCAAAACATTTACTGTAGGATACATGCTGTACGCAGCGTTGTGGTTTCTGAGAGAAGAACAATACTATGCTTTTGCTGAATACAGGTCGCTTTTCGATCAAACCTTTATAGACACGTTGCAGCTGATATATATATATATATATATATATATATATATATATATATATATATATATGCATATTTCATTATAAAACGAAAACGACAGACAAGGTACTACGGTGAAGCTTTTTATTTAATTTTTTTCTGTTCAAACAAGAGCTTTCTTTTCCAGACAAAGAGTGTGTAAGAATTGTCCAAATGTTTTATATTTCCGAGCGCTTTCGGCTATACCTTTAGCCATTATCAAGGATGATTCGATTTTTCAGCTTAATTGAGTGTGTGCGTTCTGTGTATGTATCAGTGTGTGATAGGGATGTTTTTAATTTCCGAATACGGTTAGCACATTGTGGCTTTGTTCGTAGTTAATATTGTTAAGAGTTGGCTTTTTCTTTTTTATTATTAAAGCTTCCATTATTTTTAGTCTTTTTTTGCAGGTGGATGCAGTTAATATATTTGTGTTTTCTACTGATATCTTTCTAATGAAGTCGGGTAAATTTGTGTGTGTGTTTAAATGGGTTCTAATGGAGCTGTGATCAGATAGGTGTAATGTAAGATGTCTGGATAAGCATGTAGTTGTGTAGCCGATGTAATTATTTATGAGTCCGATTTGGTCAGGAACACAATTCCTTAAGGGGCATTTGAACTCATAGATAATGTTCGTTCTTTGTAATTTTGACTTAGTTATGTGTGTTGTTATTTTTGAGGATAAGGTTGGCTGTCTTAAATTTTTTTTAATAGATAATAAATTTGATTTTTTTCTTCGGATCAATTGTAGTAGTATATTTCATTATATATATATATATATATATATATATATATATATATATATATATATATATATATATATAACTTATTCGAAAATTCTAACATAAATATATTATAAAGTCACTACAAAAATAGACATTTTGTTTCAACACTTCTGGTTTTTATCCCGTAGTGTTGAATGTAGGGTTAAATTATATTTGCTCTACTCTGTATTGAGCAATCTTTTAAGAATAGTATTTTGGGGTTATTGGAATTTATTCCGTATACACCAATCCTATACTTATATATATATATATATATATATATATATATATATATATATATATATATATATATATATGATAAGCAAATATAAATGGATATAAATCCGACAGAATGAAGAAAATATCTGGAAAACAAAACAAAAATCCTTAAAATGTGATTATGTTTCATATGACATTTCATTCATATTAAAAACAACATAATCGCATTTTAAGGATTTTGTTTTGTTTTTCCAGATATTTTTTCTATATATATATATATATATATATATATATATATATATATATATATATTCAAGCATGTTTGGTTGAATAATCTTGAATAATATGTATATTTATTTTTTATTGTGATCATCTCGAATTCTCTAATCGACTTCTTAATGTTGATATTAAATTCAGTAAGGAAGGCGCCATAGTTTTGTTTTCATTTCTTTTATTTTCAAAAGTACTTTCAATCTCATCCAAGATCGTCTTCAGGGGTGAATTCTTAAGACAAAAAATTAATGTAATTGATTGCTGTGATTTTTTTAAGTATGCAGTGTTATAATTATTTTTAAATGAACTGTTGAAGCTATGGCGTTTTTACGTGTTTTTGATCTAAAGGAGGTGCCTTTAATTTGTATGATTATCACCTATTCAATTTTGTTCAAAAGCTTTTTGAAACATTTTTAGAAACATAGCTATTATAAACATTTTAAAACTTTGTTGCTGTAAACATAACTAATCTTATTTAGTGTTGGCTGTTTACTGCTTATATAGAGGGCCTCTAGAATTTGAAGTTTTATATATGTCAAAATTTTCATTTGAAAGTACACGAAACCGCGTTAATTTTTTTAAAACTGTAATAAGAATAAAAGGTTTTTTATTGGCTTTTAATTCTCCCTACCAAAAAAAACAAAAAAAAAACAATAAAATAAAATAAAATAATGAAAAGAATAAAAAAAGAAAAATCGGCCGCTAAGCACATTTGAAGACATCAAATACGAAGTCACTAATACATTTTTGTATGCCTATAGAAAGTTAATGTATACAACAACTGGTGTAATAACAAATATGTCACCCCAACAAAGTCCTCATTAGATGTTGACCCGGTTGGACCCCATGGTTTCGTTGCTACAATATAATTTCTAGTAACTCCGGGCTCGTCATCAGTACCTCACAATGCCAACCGGCTATGTTGGTTCTCTATCACTTTGCTGGGGAAGAAATGCAAGCAGGGGTTGTCAGTGCCCTAGTATGTAAAGCTGTTTCCTTTGATATCAAACGGAGATCAGTTAGATATCTCAAGGCTTATGTGGAAATATCATCTTAGCGTCTGACTAAAGGAAATAAGTATTAGTCGATAATTCTCTTTCACCCACCGAAAAAAACGTAGCGTGTATCTTGTTATGGTGAAACACACCTAATTCTTTATTTAATAGACTCTCCCACCTATAATAAGTAGGAGTAGCGAGTGAGTGAGTGAGTCAGTCAGTCAGTCAGTCAGTCGATGTCGGACGACCGGCTGAGCGGTTGAACTCTCTGTCTTCGGGCGGGAAGAACCCGAAGGAGGCCACGCCGAAGGGCGGATTCTCTTTCGGGGAGGTAAACCGACCCTGAACCCGTTTATACAGGTTCAATGGGCATATTTTTGGCCGAGCCCACGGGCTCGGAGATCCCACGTTAAACTGGCCTTGTGCCACATGATGTCCTCGTGAGAGGGGTGACTAAATATCGAGTCAGTGAGTCGAGGTCGGACGACAGTTAGTCGAATACGAAAGATTAACAAGATTACTCTGCGTCATACCTATTATATTAAGTTCCTAATGTTTTGTACGTCGAACCTATTTTAGGACCGATTTAGTACAAATACAAGCCTCAACTGCGAAATCATTCCACAACAGTATCTATAATGTGTATAAGGCCAAGATTTTCGAGTATTTTAAGTTTTCTTTCTTGTCCGTTTTCCTTATTATCTTTTCATTTCATTCTTTCTTTCTTTCTTTCTTTCTTCATTTTCACAATGTTTTGCTCTTTTTCTCTTTCTATGTCTTTTTTCCCTTTCTTTATTTCATATTTACCTTGCCTCTCTCTCTCTCTCTCTCTCTCTCTCTCTCTATATATATATATATATATATATATATATATATATATATATATATATATATTGCGGCCGGTAGAAGTTAATTACGTGAACTTGTTTGTCTATATTTCTGAGATGAGGTATTATGTACACTATTTACATTATTCGTCCTCATCTTTGTTGCCATATTTATCACAACGTTTCGGCCGTTGTACGCTCAGGCCTTCTTCAACGGACTGGAATGTCGAACTGAACCCTCTAATTCGCTCACTGGGGTAGACTGTTCTAGTGCTATGTCTAATGGATGTCAGTTATCTGTTATCTCCTGTTAATTCATCTCTCCAAGTTCTCCACTGCCTTACCCAAATATTGAACTGACACTGGATTTAACCAATACCTTTATCCACTGTGCCATGTGTCCTTAAGGGCATCTGTATATGAATTTCTGAGACTTATAAACTTAATTTCTTCAGCAACATTTTTTATCAGTGCTCATATTGTAATTTTTGCTGTTATCATTACATTTTTTTTTTTTTACCGGAGCTCATATTTCAATTTTCGTTGTTATCATTGCTTTTCTCTGGCACTCCTTATTACTGGTTCCCATATTGTATTCATTTCTATGCTTGGTCGGCTCAGCAGATTTTTGTGGCCTAGCATATGTGCTGATTCCTTAAGTCTACGAATTTTCCAACGATGTTCTTTGTCTATGATTTCAACCTAATCCCACAGAGGGCGGTAATCTCACTTTTCTCTCCATATGTGGTCAGCCACGCCTGATTTTTCCTCTTCCCCTTGTGTTACAGCTTTTTTGGTGTTCTTGAAGCGTTCCCTTAAGGGGGCGGCCTGTCTCCCCTTTATATTTCTTTCCGCAGCTGCATGGAATGACGTTCACACAGTCTTTAGTCATGTTCTCCTCTATCGGGGCGGGGGGTCTTACTCAGGAGAGATATCTGTGAAGTGTCGTCAAGCTTTTGAAGGTTGTCCTGATGTTATATGGACCGCTGATCCTTTGTATTTTCTCCGATAACCCTTTCAAATAAGACAGGCAGACTGTTTTTTGTGTGTTGTTGTCCTCCTCTTATACACGCCTATCCCAGTTTATTGGGGCCGCTGCCATGTACTCAGGGTAGTTGTTACGTTGAAAGGTATGCTTATATTGACCAATTCCTTATCTAGAGTTGTGAGTTCAATATCTGGTTAAGGCAGTGGAGATCTTGGAGAGGTGAATTAACAGGAGATAGCTGATAACTGAAATCCATAAGTCATGGCACGTGGAACTAGAACAGTCTAACCCAGCGAGCGAAATAAAGGGTTCAGTTCGGCATTTCAACCACCTGAAGAGGGCCGGAGCGTACAACGGCCGAAACGTTATGATAAATATGGTAAAAAAGATTAGGAAAATAGTATAAATAATGTAAATAGTGTGAACTTGTTTACTATACAAAGTGAATCCTCTGGAATATATACAGTAGTTGGCGAAGATGAAATTAGAGACTGTACTGCTCAAAATCTCTTCCGATCAGAAATGTGTCACTCGAAGTAAAGAATGTTAGACAAATCTTTGTGATGACCAACTGAGGACTTGTGCTGAATTTAACTCACTTCAAATGTTCGAATGGTTAGCATCAGTAGAAGTGAAGGAACCCCTAAGCCTGCATTCACACCGTGTCGAAAAAAATTCAGGTTAAGAATATGAGAATATTTTGAACTCGTTGAATTAAATAAAAAGAAAAGTTGATGAATTTTGTGAAGATCTGCTATATTTGCTAAGCATATGTCGATGTTGAGAACAAGCCGGAAGCATGTTCTTCGTCTTCATCTTCGAGAATTTACTAATTCAAATGTCAGTCTGACTATGTAGGCAGAACGGGTGCGAAGATGGAAGCACCAATCAATCAATATGTACCAACCAATATTCCCAAGGATAAGGTGAACAATTTGCATAAATCTTTGAATGCAACTGGTTTGGTGACAGCCGAACATTTGCTAGAAAACCCAACAATTTGCTAGACGTTACAACCAAACCATTTTCTCAGTACTGAGGGAGGCTAATTCAAAACTGAATTTGAAGGTGCTGAAGTCTGTTTACATTAAGTCCTACCAACCACTTCTCTGTAAGCGGAAATAGTGGTTGATACGTTAAATCTAATTAGCTTGTTAATTAACGTCTTATGTAAATATATATATATATATATATATATATATATATATATATATATATATATATATATATAATGTTACATTAGAACATGTAAATATCCACCATAAAATTGTTCATTTTGTTTTGACGTTAAAATCAAACGTTTCTTCAGGTGGCTAACAATTATGTTACTAAACGATTTTATTCAAAATTGCGATAAATGAAACATTTGAATTATTAAAAATCAAAGTTGACTGGGAAGGAAGAAGGCAGAAGAGTGTTTCACAAGCGATTAGTGCGTGAGAAGAAACTCTCAGCATAGAACTTACAGTTACATCTAGCCAATTCCACTATAAATTGATTAGATCTTGCCGCCAATCCGCTTAAATACATACATCCGAGGTACCATAGATGAAAGATAATGTATAAAGCCAAGCGGGCAGGGGGTGGCGATGTGGGAAAGCTGGTATAATATATATATATATATATATATATATATATATATATATATATATATATATATATATATATATTTAAATATGTTTTTGTAGGCACAAAATTTAATGATTGAAATAAAAGTATAAAATTTAATATTACGACATATACAATATTAAATAATAAAAAAAAAATCTGTCATCTGCCTCTAGTTCCTTCTTGCATAAATACAAATATATATATATATATATATATATATATATATATATATATTTCCACCTATTCTTATTGTACATTTTTCTGTTTTAATTTTGAATCTCCCGTGGAAGCCTGAAGAGCGGGAGTGAAACCGGTTGCTTGCACCTCCCTTGTTGTTGTGTTTTTTTTTAATTATTTAATATTGTTTTAATTTATCTTGTCATATTAAATTTTATACTTTTATTTCGATCATATATATATATATATATATATATATATATATATATATATATATAATTAAACTTAGCTAGCCGCAATCACTGACGCAAACATTCCTTACACCAAAGCAACACATTCTTACTTACCATTCTTAATACAGACACCATAATACCTCAGAGTCTCTATGGAGTCCTAAACCGTCTCTACCATACAGAAAATTTCATCAGACGCATACTATAAAATCATTTATAAAAAAATTTTAAAAAAAAGGCATGGGGAAGCTACATTATAGAAGTAGAAAAATAACCCAAGCCGAGTTGTCAGCTCAGGACCCATAGTATTGCAGGTTTTTTTTTTTTTTTTTTTTTTTGATTTTATCAAGAATTTTTAAATATATAGCACAGCACCAGACAATATGTGGTAGACTTATAAATATATAAGTTAGATTCAGGAAAGTAAAACTGTCTAGAACGACGCATTAAACCAACTTTCCTATCAGCTAACCTTGCAGATGTTTTAATATTATTTTTCTAATTTATACTTTCGATTTACTAATTTATAGCCTTATGTTTTCTTGTTCTCCTTTTGTGTTGTGAACATGTCCGTTTTTATTGCTTTAATAAAGTTTTTTTCAATACGAAAATAATTGAACTCGTAAATACATTCTTCTTTTGCTTTCTTGCAGGTAAGTGCTTCCCTTCTGCTTGTGTTGTTCCTTTGCAAAGATTTATCCAGACCCCATCCATCAAAGGTAAGTACATCTGATAATTTTTCTACCTGATGAGCATTATCTATTAACCACTCCGGAGATCGGAAGTCCAGTTCAGGAAGTACAATGACATTACGAATTTCCGCCACATAGTTTTCCCCCTTTTTTTGCGGAAGGAGGTTTCTGTTCGCTTAAAAAATAAATAAGAACTTTTCATCGTCATCTCTCTCTCTCTCTCACTCTCTCTCTCTCACTCTCTCTCTCTCTATCTGTTTATCTCTTTCACTCTCTATCTTTCTTTCTCTTTCACACTCTCTCTCTCTCTCTATCTATCTATCTGTCTTTATCTCTCTCTGTCTCTTTCACTCTCTCTCTCTCACTTTCTCTCTATCTCTTTCACTCTCTCTTTTTCACTCTTTATCTCTATCTCTTTCACTTTAACTCTCTCTATCTCTTTATCTCTTTCACTCTCTCTCTCTCTCTATCTCTCTCTATCTTTCATTCTCTCACTTTCACTATCTCTCTATCTATCTTTATCTCTCTCTGTCTCTTTCACTCTATCTCTTTCACTTTCTCTCTCTATCTCTCTCTATCTCTTTCACTCTCTCTCTCCTTCACTCTCTCTATTCCACTCTCTCTATATATATCTCTCTACCTCTTTCACTCTCTTTCTCTCTCTCTATATATATATATCTTTCACTCTCTTTCACTCTCTCTCTCTCTTTCACTCTATCTCTTTCACACACACACACACACAAACACTCTCTCTCTCTCTCTCTTTCTCTCTCCCAGAGCCAAAAAACGTTGTGTACTCAGTTAATTTCCTTCCATCGGACACTATTATAGTTTGGCATTACAAAGTCAGAAAGAAAGAACTGTACCTAATAATAATAATAATAATAATAATAATAATAATAAAACCCACAAAACTTGAAGACCTTCAAAAAACGACGGCAGAGAAAACGGTTGTCTCATGTAACTTGTAGGTACAATAATGACATAATCAATTTGTTAACTTTTTCTTTCTTTCTTTTTATGTGTCGTGTCCTTTCAGGACGTAGGCGATCATGGCTCTCCACTTCGCCCTATCCCTTGTAGCTCTCAATAAGTTTAGTCCCTCTGCCA